AGAGCTCCCTTCCCAACCTTCTACACATTTGCACATACTTATTCACTGAAATGGGCTCTAGTAATTGAGCTCCAGAGAAGCTAACCTGCCAGAAAGAGCATTGTTTCTGGACCATTGAATCTGACCATGGCGGGCTCAGAGGGTGGCAGAAGTACCTCTGAGCCTGCCATGGTCAGATTCACCTGGTGTTTACTCTGGGATATTAGGTGGCAGGTTTGGTTAGACCAAGGCAGCCCACTGGTTACATAATGGAAAGCCTTGTTCTGAGAGAAAGCAGCTGGAAGAGTAGGCACTGGGTAGACCCCCTATCCCCATCTCCCCCAGTCTCTCAGAGCTCTCATGGGAGGAGGAAGCAGACACACTCCGGTGGCCCAGAAAGAAGAGCTCACAGCAATGGGGGCTGAAAAAGGAAACAAATCTGTATTCACTCTTAACGTCCCAGGAGGCAAAACTTTCAAGGTGGTAGACTCAGAGTCATGGAGATGTGAGAGCAGATGCTGGATGGCCAGTGCCAGGTTGACCTTGAAGACCTTAAGATGTGAATACCATTTTGTTTCTTAGTATAGGACCTTGAGAATTGAAGACTCTACATAATAATTTTTATCTTATTTTATTAGTACATGATCTTAATTTCAGATTTCTTAAACTCAATGACAAAAAAAAAGGTAAGATTTTATAATTCCCTGACTCTGGAACCTGAGAAATTTAAAATTATAAGATTACCTGTGAGACATGGTCATTTGTGTGGATTTTGTTTGAAGATGTACTATGCACATGCTTTGCAACTCTTTTAGGCTCTTTACAGGTATTATTTTATTCAAAATTCATAATTTACAGTGCATTATATTAGGTGCTATTTTTATCCCTATTTTTCAGATGAGAAACTGAGGCCAGAAAGGCTAAGTGACTTCCCTAAGATTGCACAAAGTAGTATATAGTGGTTCCATCAAAACCTCGAGTCCATGTTCTTAATCATGTCCAGGCTGCCTCCCTGTGTTATAAGAGGTACATATGTAGAAGGATGGAGGTGCACTGGCGAAGCCCAGAGCTGAGTTGTGGGTCCTTCCTGATTTCTGCTCAGCCCACCTCTACCAGCCCATCTGAGGCCCAGCCCTTGGGTGGGAGAGCTGAGCCACTTCCTTCCCCTTCCCACCTTTCCAGAGTGTTTCCTGCACAATCTCAGGTCCTGAATTCCCTAGGCAAAGCCAGCCATGTTCTGCAGGCTGAGGTCCAAGTTTACTTAAGAGGAGGAAAATGTTATTATAGAAATTACAACAGCATTAAGAAACAGAGCGTCGCTGTATCAATCCAGGACCACAAGAATGCTCATCAACTTAATAGCTTCCTGTTGGGAACCTTTCAAGCTGCGCCTGAAGCTGGCAGACATCAGGGCACAGGAGTGATGCCAAGCAACTGGGTGACACTGTCTCCTCCCCGCTCCACTCACAGTCGCCCCTTCTCCCAACCCCACCCCCCTCCGGGAAATGAGTAGTAGAGCCCATGGAGGGGACCACAGGAAACCCCACCTTGTCTCTTCATGCCCTGCAACCCTGAACAAGGCAGCAGCTCAGGTTTTCTGCTCTCCAAAGTGTAGCTGTGGCGGTGCTGGTGCTGGTGCTGGTGGTGCTGGTGCGGGTGCTGTGGTGTGTGTGGGTGTGTCTGAGTGTGCTCGTGCACACGTCTCTGGTTGTGCCAGGGAGGGGAGGGCTGGGGCTCCTCCTCCCGCCCACCCCATTCCACACCCTCAGCCTAAGTCAAGTACAAACATGGTCGCTGATCCCTAGACCTTCTCCCCAGACCCAATGTGGAGGGGATGAATCTAAGTCCCTGATAAGGAAGGGGCTTTAAGAAAGCCACTGCTTTCTTTACCTTCCAAAGCTAAGGAAAGGGAAAGCCAGGCATTAACTCCTTCTTTCTCTCTCTCTCTCTCTCTCTCTCTCTCTCTCTCTCTCTCTCTCTCTCTCTTTAAGAAAGAAGAAAAGAAAAAAGAAAGAAAGAAGGAAGGAAGAAAAAAAGAAAGAAAGAAAGAAAGAAAGAAAGAAAGAAAGAAAGAAAGAAAGAAAGAAAGAAAAGAAAACCATTAAAGTAAAATTCCTGGGCCTGGGAGCAGCCAGGAGTCTGGCGCGTGTCTCCTCCTGGGTAATTATCTGGCATTTAGCACCCCTCTTCCCAGCACTTGTAATTAGCAAGGAAATTAAGATGCTGTCATCCTACCTCCCAGAGGCCTGGGGAGAGGTCCACAAGGGTGGGGGAGGGGAACGTTGCGGCAAGAAGTGAGACCAGAGATCAGGAAGGGCTTTCAGCCAAGAAGAGACATTTGACAGAAGAGTGGTGGAGGCTCCTCTGCGGAGTACTTTGATGCCTCTGGCCTCAGCCATCCCTCCTCTCTCTGAATTCCTGGAGTATGTGCAGGCTGGACCACACCCCTTCCCATGGGATGGGATCCTGGCTTTGATGGAAGGGCTGCATCCCAGCAGGGTTTCATCGCATTCACCAAAATAGACGCAGAGGCCTCTGGAGGACCATGTCTGGGCTGGACCCTGGAGACAAAAATGAGTCAGATCCGCCCGCCCCCAGCCCCAAGAATTGCAGGTGCCCTCCAGGGAAAACACATAACACAGCTCTTGGAAGGGACAAGAGCTGAGGAGGCAGCACAAGGCACGTAAGTCAGAGGGGCCTAGTGAAAAATGAAAATGATTGAAATTACTAATAACTTCAAGACCGTAATTGCAGAAGATTAAACCAGCTGTGGGACTCTTCCAAGTGTGGGACCCCGTGTGACTACCCAGGTGGCACGCCCATGGAGCCATCCCTTCAAGGAGGGCAGGGAGGTCTTGCCAATTAAGGAAGAATTCTTGCAGGAAGCAGCATTTGAATTGGGCTGGTTCAAGAGGCCAGTATTGTTCAACAGGCGAAGTTTCTATTATCTATCTGGCCAGCTTTCTAATTTGTCAGGACCCTACTCTATGCCCCCTCTTCCAGGAAGCCTTCCCTACTAACCACAGACTGCATTAGGATCTTCTGGGCTCTCACAGCTCTATTCCTTCACCCCCTCAACCCTGTGCTTCTCTAGAATACCTATTTCACCCCATCACAGATGACTGGCTGTGAAGCTACCTTCCCCATAAGCCCATGTTCACCCTCAGAGAGCAGGGCGTGGGCAAAGGACTTCTTTGATTAGTTTAGGGAATGCAAGGGTGAAGTTTTGCTGGTGAGGTTAACAAGTTAAATGGGTTTTGGATCAGGAAGACCCTGGATGACAAGCCAAGGGCAGGGCGCTCTTAGAAGGTTCAAGCTTTACAGATTGATCCAGCTGCTCGGGAGAAGATGGAGTGGGTGGATGGTGGAGTTTAGGGGGAGAGGAGCAGTCAGCCTGTGCCGAAACAAAGGTTAGGGTGTCCTGGGCCAGACGGCAGTCACGGGAATGGAAATAGAGAAAGAGCTGGATGTGAGCTTTGCAGCCCCAACCACCCTGGTGGCAGCAACACTGGGTCACCAGCCAGCTATTCCAATTATTCATAGAAATCAATCTCATTTGTGGAAGGCTCAGATAAAACTCGTGTGCAGTAATGGATGGGGAGCTTAGAGCGAGGAGATAAGAGGCGGCCCAGAGTGCAGGGTGATCAGGTGGGGCTTTGCAGGAGAGGGAGGCACAGAAAGAGGTTATCAAAACATCCCTCAAATAGCAAAGGCTCAGAGCCAGTCGGCCCAGCTGTGGCAGTGAAGGGACACGCAGGCTCATCCCCAGGCCTAGGGAGACACAGACTTAGGGGTCCTTGGGCGTCATTCTGAACGGTAGGGTAAACTGAATCAGTCTTGTTGCCCTGAGCCTTCTATTGAAGGTCTAGTGTTTTCTATTGAGGGTGGGGAGCGAGGGAGGTGGATCAAAGGGATGCCCTCGGAGGCCCTTTTCTACCCTGACTTTTCTGGGATCCCAAGTCCATGAATCACCACAGTGGCATGTTGTCTGTAGGGCCAGGAAAAGGATGTTCTGTTCTCCAGCACTGGGCAGATGATGTGGGAGGCAGAGGGGTGTTGCCTACTCACGCTAAGCTGGGCCAGAAAGGCTGTGTCCCCATCAGCCTCCACAAATGCTGGGAAGGGACCCATGGAGCACCCCTGCCCCCAAGATGTGAGAGAGGATGTGGGTATAAGGGGTCCACCCAGGGGCAAAGAACAGAGTTAGACACGAGGCTTCTGGGAAAGGAAGGACCAGGGGAGAAGGCTGGAATACCCAGATGGGTGTTCAGAGAGTGGATTAGAGAGCAACACTAATAACAAACAACTGATTCTTACACAATACCTGCCACTGTCCAGCCACTGTCCGAGGTGCTTTTTCTGAATGAACCAGTGTCACTACCCTCATTCTACCAAAGAGGAAACCAAGACACTGAGTTGAAGTCAACTTTCCCAAAGTCCTACAACTGGAGAAGGAGAAGCTGGCATTTGAACCCAGGTGGTCTGGCTCCGTTTTACCACGATATTGAAATCATTGTTCATTGCTGTGCACCAGGAACCAACTTCACTTGACCACTAGGAGGAGTAATTATGCCCATTTTACAGATGCAGAAGCTGAGGCTCTACAAAGAGAAAGAGGCAGAAATGGGAAGTGAACTTGTACCTGCCTCTGGTCTTGCACACACTCCGCTGGAGAGGGGCTGTGCGAAATGGACTATTAGAAAGCAACTGATGGGGCATTCCTAGAAGAGGGCAAAACCGAGGGGCCTGCCCCTCCCACTGCCTCAGACAGCTTTACCTTACAGCTGCCTGTGGAGGTTGGCCGGAGAGGCCCCATCTGCCGACACTCAGGGCTGGGAAGAGATAGCACTTTTTATCTCTGCAGAGAGTTCAAGAGTTTATTCTCACCCGGGCAGTGGGGAGCCTGGTGCCCATTCTTGGAGGGTGTCCAGTGACAGGACAGATGGGGAGGTACTTCCTCCCCTTTGTCTCCATCACACTCTCTTCCACACCCCCCATCCTCAGAGGACAGCAGTAAACACCTTGGACGGAGCCCTCGGACCCAGCACCGGCTCTGGTGGCAAGTCCTGGCTCAGAGCACAGGGCCGGGTGCTGAGCAGTCGGTGTTGGTGGGAGAGCACAGCTCTGGAGTCAGGCACGTCAACCAGCTGGGTATGGTCACCACCTTCTGATTCTGTGTCCTCCGACATGGTGCTTCTCGCCTCCAAACCTCAGTTTCCTCCTGTGAACAGCTGAATGACCATTCCTATCTTGGAAGGTTGTTGTCAGGGTTAAACAGGAAAGGTATGCACTTTAGTCACCTGGCTCACAGCCTGATCTAAAGATGGGGCTCTCAATGGACCTACCTCTCCCATATGCACCATAGGCACCTGACTGCAGTCCATTGAAGCAAAGTTCACTCCTGCGTCCTAAAGACAGAGTGGATGAGCTCACCCCCTTCTCAAACTCCTCCGTGCTCCCCAGGCCCTCAGCCTGGCATTCGGGGCCTCCAGGGGTTTGGTGGCCACCTGTCTCCGGGCCCCATGTCCTGCCTCCAGCACCCCAGGTGACTCATTCTTCCTGAACAAAGCAGGCCCTATCTTCTTCCCCAGCATATCCTTCCAGGCCTAGATCATCTACTGCCTCATCTCTGAAGCCGCCCCCAGCCCCCGGAGGGAGTGTGAATCACTGGCTCCACTGTGCTCCCACAGCTCTGAGCTCATACTGCTTTGTGTTTCGGGTACAGATTTGTGGATCTGACTCCCCAGTGGTGAACTCCACCTCCTTACCAAGAGTGCCTGGCAAGGAATCTGTGCTCAGGAGATGGGTATTTAATCAATTAATTAACGAATCAAACAGAGTTGGAGCATCCCAGAGCCAGGAGAACCTCACCTAGTCCACATGCCTCATTGTCTAAGTGAAGAGGCCTAAAAGAAGTGGGAGGGTTGGGATGGGGCAGAGGACAGGCCCAAGGTCTCCCACTGAGATAACAGCAGAGGAGACACTAGAATGAAGGCGAGGGGTGTTAGGGCCAGCTGGGTGGATGAGGACCCATCAGTGGATCTCCATTGCCCTTCAGATAAAGCTGAAATCTGTTATCCTGGCTCCCTAAGTCCCTTTGTGATATGGTCTCAAACAACCTGTCCACTCTCACCCCCAGACAGGCCACAAACTCAGGTTCCCCAGCACCTGGTGCGGGTCCTTCTCTTACGCTCCCAGGCCTTCCCTGCTATTCTTTCTGTCTGGAACACCCACCCTTTTGCACGGAACCCTCACCACTCCTTTGGCCAAATCCTATAATCCTTCAGGTGCCAGCTCATATGTCACTTCCTCTGAAAACGCTCCCTGTTCCCCTGTTCTTGTGATCCGTCTTCACTCAAGGTTGCAAGTGTCCATTCACAGATCTTTAGTGCCCAGCCCAGAAAAAAAAAAAAAAAAAGAATGAATAAGAGAAAAAATGAATGAGTAAAGTGGAATAAACTGGAACTCCAGACCACCGCACTATGGCCAGGGGCACATCAAGGGGTGCTGAAGGGGACTGTAGCTTTGTCCCCCTATCATTCTTAGCTCCAGTCAAAAGCATTAGTCTTGTAGGCACCGATCTTTGAGCTTAAACAATAGATTATTTTTTTCTTTTGAAAAAAATATATACATATATAGATATACATATATATTATTTTAGAGAGGGAGGGAGAGAGAGAGAGATAGAAACATCACTGATGAGAGGGAATTATCAAGGTTGCCTTCTGCATGCCCCCCACTAGAGATCAAGCATGCAACCTGGGCATGTGCTCTTGACTGGAATTGAACCTGGGATCCTTCAGTCTGCAGACCAATGCTCTATCCACTGAGACAAACCAGGTAGGGCTAAGCTGTTTCTTTATCAGCACATTTTACTGAATCACCACTATGAGTCATGTTCCTGACAATCTGCATGCAGAAGTCCCCTCGATGCTGTCAGGCTTCAATTCCACTGGATTGGTCTCCCAGAGCACAGCTGGTCCTGATTTCACCACATTGAACACCTCCCAGGCATAGCCACCACCTACCTTGAGTTCCTCTATTTCTCCAGACAGGGAAAGAATGGCCCATCTCTCAGGCCAGTAAGTGCTGCTCCCAGGCCTGAAGGAACTTCCTGGCTACAAAGTGGAATGCCTTCTGCTCAAAGCTATTGATAACCTCACCCACCAGGCCACACGGGGCATGCCCTCTAGCATGATGGTTGGAAGGTATGGGAAGGTTGGTGATGGTTCCAGAAGATGGTGGAGGCGAGCAGTGGGTGTGCTGTGGGACTAGGGACACCCATTTCTCCCTTATTCACTACTATATCTCTATGCCCAGCACAAAACTTGGCATGCAGTAGCTGATTTAAAAAAAAAAAATGTTTACTAATAATTAAAGGGATCTCTGGAGACTTTAGAAGGGAAAATTTTGGGGATATTTGGACCAACCCCAATGAGAATCAGAGGGCCATGTTTCACATATTTCCTCATGGAGTCTGCATTGCAAGAGGAAGACAGATGGGTATGGATTCCATATCCCTGTCCCATCACAAGAGCATAGCTTTCTTCCCTGACCCTGAGTAGCAGAGAGATGTAGAGAGATGGCCCGCACCCACCCCACACTGCTCTGTGCTGCTCATATCCTCTGTCTCCACAGGCTACCTGGCCGGGCCTACTTCCTACAGAATGCCAACAGCCTGCTTCATGTTTGCCAGACTAAAGGAGGGTCCTGGGCACCCCTTTCCCCTCTGCTGTGGCCAGATGAAGCTCCAACTGGGCCTGGAGCCAGAGAGATAGAAGATCCCGACACTTAATTTCCCACACACTTGACACTCAGTTCCCATTGCAGAAAAAGCAAATCACCTTCCACTCTTGAGATACCAGGAAGTCACAGTATCTCAGAGCCACAGGGACTTTAAGAGAGCACCCAGTCTGACCTTCCTCTCCTCTGCTTCCCAATCATTGTGTGAAAGGGGAAACTGAGGCTCAGAGACAGGTGAGGACTGAATTATGCCCACTCTGAGAGTCGGTAAGATTGTTGGGGCCATATAGCCAGTTCTCCTGCTTTCTGGCTTCATATCCTTTTTAAGTCCCAAATTGAATAATTACCTGAGAAGTCACATCTGCATCCCCAAAGGATCTTCTGCAACCTCCCTCTTGCTGGCATACCTTCTATGACAGATGACAGAGAGCCCAGCACATCCATTCTAGATAGCTCTCAGCATTAGACAGGCCTTCTCTACCCTGACTCTGAACCTGACCCACTACCCTCTGGGAACTCACAGGGTCTGGGGAGATTGCTGTGGAAAGAAAAAAGTAGAGAATAATGAATTTCTTGGACTTCTCCAAGACAGAGGAAAGCAGGCTGACAGTTAGCTTTCCTACAAGAAAAGCCATGAATTGGGGCAGAAAAGAAATGGGAGGGCCACATTTCCTAGAAGGCTGGGGAAGGGCCGCAGGTCAAAAACTTGGAGTTTGGAGGACAGGGAGGACTATGGGATGACTTTTAAAGTTGGCCAAACCTGTGATCCCCACAAATATTTCGTAAAGTGACCAACACAGAAACATTCCCAGGGATTACATTCTTGTAGGAAAAGGAGAGGGGCAAAGCTTTGTGTGGGGGCCTGATGGTTTGATGTGCATGGAGGAGGCTGAACTCTCATACGCAGGACAAGAAAGCATGACAAACAACTGTGAAGCAGCCAGAGCCCGAGATCCAGCTTCCCCCAAATCTCCAGGAGCATGGAAGTCCCATGGGGCATACAAAAAACATACGAAATTGTTCTGTGCCATTCATTCATCTCTCTATTCCTTTATTTGGTAGGCATTTATTGAGTGCTGACAATGTGCATTAGGCACTGGGGATACTATGATGAACAGACCAGAACTTGGTATCTTGGATGCTCAGTCCTACATTTTTAGCTAATAGCTCTTCAATGGATGTCCCAACTCCCCACAGAGTTTGCAACTTTCTGAATGGCCTGAGCTTTTATCTGCCTCTTCCCCATCACACACCTCTCACCTGAGTCTCCAGTGATCAGTTTAGAGATTCATGGGTAGGTTCAGTTTCATCAGCAATATTCATCAGTTAGGCATTTAATCTGTTAAACATACCAGTGGCCCAGTTCTTATGTGTTCTCAATTCCTGGAAATGAATTGGCTCAACCCAAGGTCATCAAGTCTAACCCTCCACCTCCAGACCAGGCAAACACCTCAGCTAGGCCAATAGGAGGGGCTAGTGCCGAGTAAGAACAAGAGCCCGGGAGGCTGGAGATTTGGGTTTGAGCTGCATTCTCCCACTTGCCCACTGTGTGGTTAGCAAGAATGGTGGTGTCCAGGGGCATGAATGTGGAAACCCTTTTTTCACTTGATCCTCTCAACAAATTGTTATTCCCTACTTTACAGAGGAAGACACTGAGATTTAAAGAAGTTGAGTAGCTTGCCCAAGGTCCCAGAGCTGATGAGTGGTGGCGCCAGGATTTGAGGCCAGATTTGCCTGGTCTTGGGGGCCTCCTTACTTCTGTAACAGTGTCCCTGGGGCACAGACTCTGAGTGCCGCTGTGTTGTCTCCAGCTGACAGGAGCGCCAGAGCCGAGCTGATTCATGAACTGATGGCTCTAGCCTCCCTGCATCCCCGCCTAATGAATCTGCAGGCTCTTCCACCCCAGCACCACTGGCCACTGACCAAGGAGAGGACAAGAAAGCAGGATGAAAATTGGGGGTGGGCAGAGGAGACAGAGCAGAGGCAGACGGGGAGGTCTCAGAGCATCCATCACCAGGGCCAGTTCCCCCTGGGATCTGAGCTGCTGTCTGATCTGCCCAGGAACTGAGTTCCCATCCAAAAGTCAGCCCGCCTGACAACCTGTCAGTCACTCCCCCGGGTGAGCGCCTTCCCAGGCTCCCATGGCCTCAGGCCTGCTGGGACCCAAGCAAATGGGCCAAGCATAGCTGGGCTCTGACAGCGAGGAGAAGCAGCCACTCAGACGCCAGCACAGATGGACCCATGTCTGAGGAATCAGCCAGATATGCCTCTTGATTTTTGGGCCCATTCTCTAAGCCCTTTGTCCCAACCCTGAATTCCTTAAGCTCCTTTGCAAAGCCTTCCTGGGTTTTCCTGAGTTTATGAGGTGTGACTTCTTGTCTGGCATGTCTCTCTCTGCTTGCCATCTTCCTTACTTCAGTGTGAGCCAGAGCTCATGCCCTCGATG